CCCAGCCCTGCGCAACGCCCACTGGAGATCCTCCCCCCGTCGCCACTACATCCATCGCTATCGACCATCAAACCGACAGATAACTGTCGGGGCCAAGGTCAGCCCAAAATGTTGACAACCCCCTGTGTCCCCTGCCCTCCCACAACTCCTTTCTAAAATTACCAACACACCACCTTCTACTCCACACAATGATTCCCCTAAACCAGGGATGTCAAATATAAGGCCCGCGGGCCGAATCCGGCTCATGAAGGGGTCCAATTCGGCCAGCGGGTGGTTTAAGTAAAAATACGGTTTTAAATATTTCCCCAATATACCTTGGGAAACTAACTCAAAATACCATGAAATTACTAAAACAAAATTGAAACTGTGTAGAAATTATAGTGGACCTACATTCACACAGTTACTTGACAGTGTACTTGACAAGCTAGACAGTCAGGAAACCCAAAACGATAGATAGAAGACTATTTTTGCTAATTTTGACAGCAAGGAAATATAACCAATTTCCAGTGCAGTCCACGGGGGAAAAACGAGTTTGACACTCCTGCCCTAAACCCAATTGACTGGATGGATGACCTCGTTAGTTCAGATGTGGAGAAATTGGGAGATATGGACACTGCTAAATCAGCATGACATGGAGAGAGTTTGCCTGGTGAAACAATGGCCCTCCCACCCTCCTCTACCTACCCCTTTCTCATATCCCCCCTACCCCCCTACCCCGTCCACCCAACAATTCCCAAAATATGCAACCCTCCACCCCATCCCACCCGCAAGCCTTGTCCATTGGGATTTGTAATGTACACAGCTTCACTGATGCCTGGGCGAATGAATTAATGAATTAATTAATGAATGAACAGATTTGGGGGCCGAGGGGTAGAGGGAGGTGTAGATGGAGAGATGGAGGGGTAGAGGGAGGGATGTAGGGAGGGATGGATAGATAGAGGTGGGCAGGGGTGGGGGTGTTGGAAAGGGTGGATGCTAGATTGGATGCACTAGGGGTTTCATATCATTTGTTAGATCATTGTCCGTTTGTCCGTTCATATACCCCCAAAACCCCCCACCCCCCTACCCGGCCTCCCTACCCGTCCCTGTCACCTCATCTCAGATAGGGGTCAGAGGTCACAGTCCTCACAAGCCCCTTAGGAGAGATCAAACGCTGATTTGGCCCACACTGGAAACCGTAATGACCATTAAATCTCTGTAACATCACGATGAGTCAACACGAGGAGCGGGACACACACTGACACACACACACACACACTGACAAACACACACACTGACACACACACACACACTGACAAACACACTGACACACACACACACACACACACTGACACACACACACACTGACACACACACACTACACACACACACACTGACACACACACACACTGACACACACGCACACACACTGACACACACACACACACACTGACACACACACACACTGACACACACACACACACACACTAACACAAAAACACGCCTCCTGCGCTGTGGCCCTTCATGGTGAATTTGAGAGTTTAGGGGAGCCCGCCTGTCCCTCCCTCTAACTCTGTAAACTTAAAGAGAGGCTCGGGGGTGACCATATTGAATGATTGTGGATCAGGGTCAGTTGTAGCAGTTTGAAAAATGCGGTAGCCGAACGCGGTATGGTTCAAACGTAAACTGCCGGTGCGGTCATTGATTGGTAATGTAAACCACAAGGGAGTCTAGATTGCACCTTGGGACAGAGGTGACCACTACAGCACAATTAACCCTCAATCAATGTGTCTCTCACAGGGTTCTCCCTCTAAGATTTTATAGCCGTCCATTTATTTTCTCATGCCAGGTCACATCAGAGGCATACCTCAAGGACAGGTGTTGGGTCCAATTTAGTTATATACTGACTGTGTTTAATGGGCCGAAATACTATTTGTTATAGGTTTCCTCCTGAGACACGGCCAAATCATAGTACCCACAAAACACCAGTCTCAACGTCAACAGTGAAGAGGCGACTCCGGGATGCTGACCTTCCAGGCAGAGTTGCAAAGAAAAAGCCATATCTCAGACTGCCCATCTAAATCTTTTCTTTTTATTGGCCAGTCTGAGATATGGCTTTTTCTTTGCAACTCTGCCTAGAAGGTCAGCATCCCGGAGTCGCCTCTTCATTGTTGATGTTGAGACTGGTTTTTTGCGTGTACTATTTAATGAAGCTGCCAGTTGAGGACCTGTGAGGCGCCTGTTTCTCAAACTAGACACTAATGTATTTGTCCTCTTGCTCAGTTGTGCACCGGGGTCTCCCACTCCTCTTTCTATTCTGGTTAGAGATCTTCAGTTTCTTGGCAATTCTCGCATGGAATAGCCTTCATTTCTCAGAACAAGAATAGACTGACGAGTTTCAGAAGAAATTTATTTGTTTCTGGCCATTTTGACCCTGTAATCGAACCCACAATTGCTGATGCTCCAGATACTGAACTAGTCTCAAGAAAGCCAGTTTTATTGCTTCTTTAATCAGCACAACATTTTTCAGCTGTGCTAACATAATTGCAAAAGGGTTTTCTAATGATCAATTAGCCTTTTAAAATGATAAACTTGGATTGGAACACAGGACTGATGGTTGCTGATAATGGGCCTCTGTACGCCTATGTAGATATTCCATTAAAAATCAGCCGTTTCCAGCTACAATAGCCATTTACAACATGAACAATGTCTACACTGTATTTCTGATCAATTTGATATTATTTTAATGGACAAAAAAATTGCATTCTGTCTGGTGGATTACATAACAGGGGTCTGGTGTCTTTGTGTGTGTGTGTGTGTGTGTGTGTGTGTGTGTGTGTGTGTGTGTGTGTGTGTGTGTGTGTGTGTGTGTGTGTGTGTGTGTGTGTGTGTGTGTGTGTGTGTGTGTGTGTGTCCTCAGGGAGTCATCCCCTACCATCTGCTAATGGTTTATATCTTATCCTGCCTGGTAATAAGGGTTAGGGTTAAGGGTTAGACCTGGCTGGGTTTATAGCTTATCCTGCCTGGTTTATGCAAAAACAACCTTTGGGACAATAACAAATACAATTGTATGGGACTGCATGGATTGTGAAAAACAATTATTTACATTTCAGAATTCAGATGTTGTCAAGTTATCCGGTGTCAAGTTATCTGGTGTCAAGTTTTCCGGTGTCAAGGTATCCGGTGTTAAGTTATCCTGTGTCAAGTTATCCGGTGTCAAGTTATCCTTCATCCAAACCCAAACCCTGACAGACTACAACTGGTTTTATACTGACCACAATACATTCAGCATCCTGTAAAACCAAACAGACTGAAACAGGGAGGCACCACCTGAACGTGTATAATACATTTTATTTTCGTTTCAAAGTGTTTTGCTACCGGTGTGCCCTGCTGAACCCTGCTGAACACTGCTGAACCGTGCTGAACCCTCCTGAACCCTACTGAACCCTGCTGTCCCACTTCCCTGATTAGAAGCAGAGAAGGGAAATCAGCAGTATTTCAGTCCTCCAGGGCTGTTGTTGAAATGTCCTGACCTACAAGATGTTAGATAATACATGTTACTGTCATAGTTGTACTGCACAGCTGTCTGGCAGCGACACTCTGCATCACAAATAACACCCTATGGGCCCTGGTCAAAAGTAGTGCACTATATAGGGAATAGGGTTTCAACAATGATAATGACACATTATTATCACTGGTGAAAGAAACATAAGAGATTAAACGCAATCATTGGATGTCATGTCCCATAGGAGCTTGGGGAGTGACACACAGTTTGAGGGACACTTAGTACAGACGCTTAACAGCCGTTAGCTTTACCTCACACAACGGCTTCAAATCATAGCCCGGCCGCTCACGCGATCGGCGCCGTACAACAATGGCATTCAAAACCCATTGGGGCAAGTGAAGGAATAACTGAATGGATCAATGGACGGGTGGATGGTTCCAAATAAACATGCAATGTTTATCATTCTATTCATTTAGAGATACTAGTTGATACATGCCCTTTAACCTTTAAACCCATTTGTGAAGACCTTATACAGACAGGTGTAAGAAGCTTTATTTTTTTATTTTTTTTATGACAGGTTTATCTTTGTGATTATCTTGGAGAGTCATAGTGATACTTAATACTAGTGGGATGAAGGAAAAGTTCCATAGAATAGGCTTTGTCCTTTCTAGTAATTATATTTCTAGGGCCTTACATTCCCCATCTTGACCTTCTCTTTGAACCTGCTCTGTATATCTCTCTGTTTATCTCTCTGTCTAACTCTCTGTCTATCGCTCTGTCTATCTCTCTGTCTATCTTTCTGTCTATCTCTCTGTTTATCTCTCTGTCTATCTCTCTGTCTATCTCTCTATCGCTCTGTCTTTTCTTCCATATTGCTTCCTCTCTCATCCTCTCTCTCTCTCTCTACTTCTCTCTCTTTCCCTCTCTCTCTCTCTCTCTCTCTCTCTCTCTCTCTCTCTCTCTCCTCTCTCTCTCTCTCTCGCTCTTTTCTCCCTCTCTCTCAATCTCTCTCTCCTCTCTTCCTCTCTCTCTCTCTCTCTCTCTCTCTCTCTCTCTCTCTCTCTCTCTCTCTCTCTCTCTCCTTCGATGTGCGCTGTGGCCAAGGCCATCCTTTTTCCCTTCAAAACATCCACTTGAAAGGCTATTCAAGGATTTTTCAATGAATCCCCTCTGCCTCTGTGCGTGTGTGTGTATAAGAGAGGGAGAGAGAAAGGGAGAGCTTTATTTTCAGGGCTGTGCTACAGTACCATCTGTATGCTAATCTCCTCAGACTTTGGTCAACTTTGATCAAACGCTCAGGGGCCTCCCTCTCTCTTTCCATCTCTCTCTACCTCCCTCTCTTTTCTCTCCCCCCCCCCTCTCTCTCTCTCTCTCTCTCTCTCTCTTTTTTCTTATACAAACACAACCACACTCTTTCACTCTCTCCCATTCTCTCCCTCCCTCCCTCCCTCCCTCCCTCCCCTCCTCTGTGTTCTCAGTAACCCACTGACCTTTATGTGGGCCACATATTACCCCCTTACATCAACAGCAGCAGGCAAACCTTGAGTAAACCCCATCCCCCCTATCACTTCTCCCCCCTGATTCACCACACAGTGTCCATTCCCTCACCCCCCCACCACCCACCTCAAAGCTCTCCCCCAAACAACCTCTCCTCAGCCCCACCCCTCACCCCAAAGCTCTCCCCCAAACAATCTCTCTTCACCCCCCACCCCTCACCCCAAAGCTCTCCCCCAAACAACCTCTCCTCACTGTCCTCACCCCAAAGCTCTCCCCCAAACAACCTCTCCTCACTGTCCTCACCCCAAAGCTCTCCCCCAAACAACCTCTCCTCACTGTCCTCACCCCAAAGCTCTCCCCCAAAACAACCTCCCCTCACCCCCCACCCCTCACCCCAAAGCTCTCCCCCAAACAACCTCTACTCACTGTCCTCACCCCAAAGCTCTCCCCCAAACAACCTCTCCTCACTGTCCTCACCCCAAAGCTCTCCCCCAAACAGCCTCTCCTCCCTCTCCTCACCCCAAAGCTCTCCCCCAAACAACCTCTCCTCACCCCACACCCCTCACCCCAAAGCTCTCCTCCAAACAACCTCTACTCACTGTCCTCACCCCAAAGCTCTCCCCCAAACAATCTCTCTTCACCCCCCCACCCCTCACCCAAAAGCACTCCCCCAAACAACCTCTCCTCACTGTCCTCACCCCAAAGCTCTCCCCCAAGCAACCTCTCCTCACTGTCCTCACCCCAAAGCTCTCCCCCAAACAAGCTCTCCTCACTGTCCTCACCCCAAAGCTCTCCCCCAAAACAACCTCCCCTCACCCCCCACCCCTCACCCCAAAGCTCTCCCCCAAACAACCTCTACTCACTGTCCTCACCCCAAAGCTCTCCCCCAAACAACCTCTCCTCACTGTCCTCACCCCAAAGCTCTCCCCCAAACAACCTCTCCTCCCTCTCCTCAACCCAAAGCTCTCCCCCAAACAACCTCTCCTCACCCCCCCACCCCTCACCCCAAAGCTCTCCCCCAAACAACCTCTACTCACTGTCCTCACCCCAAAGCTCTCCCACAAACAACCTCTCCTCACCCCCCCCAACCCTCACCCCAAAGCTCTCCCCCAAATAACCTCTCCTCACCCCCCCCCCCCCCCCCCCCCCCCCCCCCCCCCCCCCCCCCCCCCCCCCCCCCCCCCCCCCCCCCCCCCCCCCCCCCACCCCCCACACACACTCTCCCCCAGCACCTGCGACTATATTTCCCTGACCCACACCAGATGGTTGTCCTCCTGGCATCAATGGCAAGTTCCTTGGCAAACAGAGGCAGTCGTAGCACAGTGGGCATGCTTTGTCTGGGCAGAGGTTGGCCACGTCTCGCGGATTACAATAACAAAAAAAGTAGCCGGTGTGCACACGCAGGCACGCACGTAAGCACACACACACACACACGCTGAGTACAGTTAACATGCTGAATACAGTTAACATGCTGAATACAGTTAACATGCTGAATACAGTTAACATGCTGAATACAGTTAACATGCTGAATACAGTTAACATGCTGCATACAGTTAACATGCTGAATACAGTTAACATGCTGAATACAGTTAACATGCTGAATACAGTTAACATGCTGAATACAGTTAACATGCTGAGTACAGTTAACATGCTGCATACAGATTGATTGTCTCACCAGTACAATAGCAGTGATGTAAACAGTGTTGTCAGTGGTTGTATTGAAGGTGTCAAATGGATGTGTGAGAAACACACACATACACACAGTAACTACCCTGGCATGGTGTGTGTGTGTGTTTGTGTGCATTGTGTGCAGCCTGTGTGTGTGTCTGTGTGTGTGTGTGTGTGTGTCTGTATGTGTGTGTGTGTCTGTGTCTGCGTGTGTATGTATGTGTGTCTGTCTGTGTGTGTGTGTGTGTGTGTGTGTGTGTGTGTGTATCTCTGTGTGTGTGTGTGTGTTTGTGTGTCTGTGTCTGCGTGTGTAAGTATGTGTGTCTGTGTGTGTGTGTGTCTGTGTGTGTGTCTGTGTGTGTCTGTGTGTGTATGTATGTGTGTCTGTGTGTGTGTGTGTTTGTCTCTGTGTGTGTGTGTGTGTGTCCTGTGTCTGTGTCGTGTGTGTGTGTGTGTGTGTGTGTGTGGTGTGTGGTGTGTGTGTGGTGTGTGTGTGTGTGTGTGTGTGTGTGTGTGTGTGTGTGTGTGTGTCTGTGTCTGTGTGTGTATGTATGTGTGTCTGTCTGTCTGTCTGTGTGTGTGTGTGTGTGTGTGTGTGTGTGTGTGTGTGTGTGTGAGTGTGTGTGTCTGCGTGTGTATGTATGTGTGTCTGTGTCTGTGTGTTTGTGTGTCTGTCTGTGTGTGTGTATGTGTGTGTGTGTGTGTCTGTGTGTGTGTGTGTGTGTATGTGTCTGTGTGTTTGTGTGTCTGTCTGTGTGTGTGTGTGTGTGTGTGTGTGTGTGTGTGTGTGTGTGTGTGTGTATGTGTGTGTGTGTGTGTGTGTGTGTGTGCGTTTGTGTGTGTGTGTCTGTGTCTGTGTGTGTGTGTCTGTGTGTCTGTGTGTCTGTGTGTGTGTATGTGTGTGTGTGTGTCTGTGTGTGTGTCTGTATGTTCCGTGTTGTGGCTATGGTGTCTCTCAACCCCTTAGTGTGTACAGGCCAGTGGGTGGGAAGACAGACAGACAGACAGACAGGCAGGCAGACAGAGAGAGAGAGACAGGCTGGCAGACAGACAGACGGACAGGCAGGCAAGCAGACAGACAGGCAGACAGGCAGGCAGGCTGACAGAGAGATACTGGCAGACAGACAGAGAGAGACAGACAGACAAACAGACAGGCTGGCAGGCAGACAGACGGACACAGACAAGCAAACAGACAGACAAAGAGAAACAGACAGAGTGAGACAGGCAGACAGGCAGGCAGGCAGGGAGGGGGATAATGTGTATTAATCAGGGAGAAGCCTAGGCCATATGTCTGCTTAATGCAGGAGACTGCTGGCCAAGGACCGGCAGCTTCACAACATAAACAATTAGCCTCATGTCAAGACCAGGAGCAGCTTTACTGTAGCACAAGTGTGAGGATACAGTGTGTGTGTGTGTGTGTGTGTGTGTGTGTGTGTGTGTGTGTGTGTGTGTGTGTGTGTGTGTGTGTGTGTGTGTGGACATAATAGATTAGGACATGTATGCCAGTCTCACATCTGAATTCTCAAATGTAAATAATTGTTTTTCACAATCCATGCAGTCCCATACAATTGTATTTGTTATTGTCCCAAAGGTTGTTTTCCCATAAACCAGGCAGGATAAGCTATAAACCCAGCCAGGTCTAACCCTTAACCCTAACCCTTATTACCAGGCAGGATAAGATATAAACCATTAGCAGATGGTAGGGGATGACTCCCTGAGGACACACACACACACACACAAAGACACCAGACCCCTGTTATGTAATCCACCAGACAGTAAGACTCCCCGCCCCAACTCCAGGTGACTCAATCCCAACATGGTGGACAGACCCCTAAAATCTCCATCCCTCTTTCTCTTTTCTCTTTCAACTTTCTCTCCCTCTCTTTTTCCAACTCAGTCCGGAGCGACAGATTTCTCTTTCAGAGCCCTCCAAAGAGAAAGGGTGTTGGCCAGACTCCAGAGAGAGGTGTGTGTGTGACACATGGTTGGCTGAAGGAGAGCGTGGAGAGACGGAGGGATGGGCGAGAGGAGAGGGAGGGGAAGAGGGAGGCGAAGAGGAGGGGATGAGAGCCATGTGGTTGATGTTAGTAAACAGTATCCAGCGTTGCTCTGGTATTGTGGCAGAGAGGAGGGGAGAGAAATCAGTAGACAGGCCACACATGAGCAGGGACACAGAAGTCACACACACACACACTGAAATAAACACATGCACACCGAAACACACACACACACACACACACACAGACAAATAAATGAAAACACTCACTCAGGCTCGCTGCCTGCCACGCCGCAGCTGCACCAGTTTCTATGGCAACGGTGACGAACGATGTTGGAAGAGCAGAGAGTGTGTGTGTGTGTTCATATCCACTTGAAGTGTGTGTGCGTGTAGGGGTGTGTGGGTGTGGCAATGGATTCTAAGGACTCAGCTCTTTACCCTTTGAGAAAGAGAGACAGACACTGGCCTATCAGGGCAGTCAAATAAACAGAGATGGGTAAGATAGGAGCTGGATGGGCCCCTTAAAGGGCAATTCCACCACTTTTCAACCTTATATTCATTATCTTCAGCACCATACCCGTTTTTTTTAAATGACGCGTTTCTATGATCTGTGGTTAAAAAGACAAGAAGAAAGGTCCTAAAAAATGCTTCTCTGTGACATCACAGGGTAGGATTAAAAGTAAGAAAAACAGTGATTTTCAAAACCTGCAACTAGTTTCTAGCCAGAGGGAGGGTCATTTCTTGCTCCCCACGTCCCCGCGAATCACATAGTGATCTTTATATTTGTTTTTACAAAACGTAGAAATGCACCGTTTTCACATATGTAGACACTGGTATTGTGCTGGAGATAATGAAACTGAGGATGAAAAGTGGTGGAGTTTACCTTTAATGATACAACCCCTCCTCAGACAGACAGACAGATGGAGAGAAACACAAACCTGGTATTGATTTATATTCTACTACATGTTTGCTTTGGCAATGTTACTTCTCACATATTTCATGACAATAAAGCTTCTTGAATCGAAGTCAGTGAGTAAGAGAGAGAGAGAGAGAGAGAGAGAGAGAGAGAGAGAGACAGAGAGAGTGAGAGAGAGAGAGAGAGAGAGAGAGAGAGAGAGCGAAAGAGAGAGAGAGAGAGAGAGGAGAGAGAGAGAGACAGAGATAATTAAATACTTTTACTGATGTGTTCACAGTATCAATGATGATGAATGATTCATGTCCACACACAGAGGTGTTCATTTTAAATGTCTATTTATTTGTCAAAATGAGGTATTTTCGAAGTGCTATGAGTTGGAGCACTACATGTAAATTATATGAATGAAAGAACAAACATCTTATATCCGTTCACCCAGAAAGTTCTATGCACCCGACAGTTACAAATATATAAACAAATGAAGAGTGAAACAGGAAGGACAGGGTCAGGTACATAAGGACAGGGTCAGGTACATAAGGACAGGGTCAGGTACATAAGGACAGGGTCAGGTACATGAGGACAGGGTCAGGTACATAAGGACAGGGTCAGGTACATGAGGACAGGGTCAGGTACATAAGGACAGGGTCAGGTACATAAGGACAGGGTCAGGTACATGAGGACAGGGTCAGGTACATAAGGACAGGGTCAGGTACATGAGGACAGGGTCAGGTACATAAGGACAGGGTCAGGTACATGAGGATAGAGAGGAAAAAGAAATTATGAGATAAAGAGATATCTAGTGAGAACTCATTTTCTTACGAAAATATAAGTATCAAATGTAATATGTATCACAGTCACACTAAAGAGTAATAAAGCTGTGTAGAATTAGAACCATGGTACAATACAAAGTAGGAGAAAAAAAAAAAAAGTTGTTATATTACAAAGTGTCATTGCCCTTGAGGCATTGCAGTATTTTCTTTATAAAGTTTCCAGTCTAGTTATTGGCAGCTTTGGGACATAAAATGTATAAAAACTCAAAGATAAAAATGTATATAAAACAAGGCAGATTCTGAGTGTATTTGTCTGTTATTTACAGTACTGTTATTTACAAAAGTGTCGGCTAGCAAGGTGCACATTATACCGTGGTTTCGTGGCGTACTAGTGTCTTCCGTTTGCAGTGGTGAAGGCGTAGAAAGCATTTTCTGCTACTAAGTGTGAACTTTGAACTATCCAACCAACTCTGACACCATGTCCAGTGTGTATTCATTAGGCACACAACGGAGCAAAACGGACTGAAACAGAGAGGGAATACCTGATCTTGTCCATTGAGAAATGCTTGTTTTCACTTTCCGTTGCAAAACATTTTGCCACGTTGTGCCCTCATGAACATGACCCCTTTGAAAGTCAGCTGGTTTGGGTTAGGGCTATAAGTGTCACATTGAGTACAACATAGAAAATGATACAAAGGTACGAAATAGAGACAGGACCCAGAGGAGTGTGTTCCCTCTCTTCTTTCCTTCTCCTCCCTCCTTCTATTCTCATCTTTCTTTTTGCTCAATGTGACCGGATTGAAAAACGTAGAACCCTAAACATTCTTAACGTCAACAAATGTGCAAAAAAAGTGGCATCAGTGAAAGTCCCGTCGACCCCCTGTCATTTGTCACTCACGTGTTTGTGTGTTTGTGTGTGTGTATATACATATATATAAGTCGAGACAAAGCGAGGGGGTGGGGGGGGGTCATCTGGGTTTGTATGTGTGTTTGTGTGTCTGTGTGTATATATATATATATATATATATATATATATATATATATATATATATATATATATATATATATGTGTGTGTGTGTGTGTGTCTATGTCTGTGTGTATATGTATGCATTATGTGCCACTAAAAATTCTTAGCGAGTCCTGGCCTGCTCGAGTCGCCTCATCAGCTGTTGCCTCCGCACCTGCAGCCTGTCCTTCTCCTGCGTCAGCCGCAGCTCGTCTGTCTCCAGCGAAGACACATACTCCGCCGCTTTCTTCAAGATCAGCACCTTGGCCGCCTTCTCATTCCTCGCCAGCTCGGGCACGTGGTCGCGGAGCGTGAGGAAACTGGAGCGCAGGTCGTTGCGCCGCTGGCGTTCCAGGATGTTGTGGTTTCGCCGCCGTTCGGAGTCTTCGGAGTCGGAGTTACCGGAGGAGCCGCCGCCGCTGCGTGGGCTGCTGTCACCGCTGGTGTTGCGTTTGGACCTAGAACCTGGCATTGTTGATGACGGCATAGTCAGGGAGCTGCAGAATGTCGAGGATGACGGCGAGGATGATGATGATGAGGGGGCACGGGAGTATTGACGAGGAGCGTTAGAGGACTTGTGTTTCTTGGAGGGGGGCGCGTGGTCGTCGTCAGAGGCATACGGCGAGGGAGCGGCGTAGTTGTGCTGCTGCTGGTGGACCGAGCTCCGCTTGAGGATCAGCTCCTGACCGTGACCGTTTGACCCCGCCGACCCCCGGTTGCTGACAAATCGGCTCACGACACCAGATGAGGCCACGGCCCCAGAAGCGCCGCCCGTCTTCGACCGCACCGAGATGGTGACAGTGCCGGTCGCCATGGGCGACAAACCGCGCCGCTTCTCCACGGTGACCACATCGATCTCTTCGCCGTCCGATTCATCTTCGTCTTCCTCCTCCTCCTCATCTTCATCATCATCTTCTTCTTCTGGGAAAAGAAAACAGAAGTGTGAGTTGGTTTAATCGTTCTGACTCACCAACTACGGGAACTATGTCACCTATGTGTGCTTACAGGTGACAGGTGTGCGTGTGCTTGTGCATGTGTGTGTGCATGTGTGTATGCCGTCTGTGTTCATGCTCACATTTGTGTGTGGGAATAGTAAGAGCATTGCTCAACTCTCAGCTCTCTAGAGAGTACTCTTATTGCTTACTGTCAGTCACCCCTGAGTCTAGCACTAACCTAGCTTTTTACATGCTTCATCTCACTGACTTCCAGACTAGCTGGATTCTTTGTTGTTTTTCAGTCAACCCTTCTTAGGCCTTTCCTGCTCATCTTTATCCACTGCAGTTTGAATGTTTGAGTTATGTCCCTGTTCTCTCTCTCTTGAAAAGGTTTTGACATCCCCAGTTAGGCAGTTACTGATGATGAAACGAGATACGCAAAGCATTTAAAAGTCATATTCAGTTTTAACTTGAGGTGTTTCAAAAAAAGTAATTTGACCATTTTCATTATTTACTGGCTTCTTTATCTTTAGTAAACCTGAGCTGAGATATTACGGCCGCGACTTATCAGAAGACTTATCATATAATACAATTATCATGCGCAGGTCTCTTTGAAGGTGTAAGAAGAGGAAGTGGCAGATTGTGAAGCGGCAGGTGATTGAGGCGGCAGCCCCAGTTAAAATGCCTTTGTGAAACGGCTATCATTATCAGCTAAGTCGTTCATAAAGCAATGAGGCATTTTACAGCTTACTGTAACCCACTTCTCACGGCCAGACCCTCGGGAGGCCGTCTCTCACACACACACACACGCACTGAGAAGTTGGCACGGGAATCAAAACACATCCACACCACAGGTTCTCAGCTGGGTGGTTATGGGGCTGTCTGGCCTCTCCCTGTCTTTTTTTCCTCTCTTTTCTCCCTCTCTACTCTTTTCGCTCTCTCTCTCTCTAGACAGACCACATGTGAAGCTGAGACAGCCTGGGCAATTTGATACTGGGAAAGGGGGTAGTCCTAGTGAGTATATCTCTAGGAGTAAATGGCGATAGTCTAAAGTGGCATCATCTCCTTGTCTCCTTTCCTCATCCTGCATTGACGTGAAAGAACTGGTCTGGTGAAAGCCAACACCTGGTTAGCAGATATCAACCATATTGCTCAAAGCTCCTTCATTTACCAAAAGATCAGTGCAGATGAAGGTGAGAGGGTAAAGCGTGGGAGCCACTTTAGACTATTGAGATGTATCCTTCATTGGTGTCAATTAATAATGTACAGATACACATGTCACAGGTGCCTTAAGCTTCCAGGTATACTGTAGGCTATCATACTGTAAGCTATCATACTGTAAGCTATCATACTGCAGGCTATCATACTGTAGGCTATCATACTGTAGACTATCATACTGTAGGCTATCATACTGTAGGCAATCATACTGTAGGCTATCTAATAAGTGTTTTGTGTGTCAGCATTTGATTTTAGAGTCATCCCACTATCTGTTATTGGGGGCCAAATGCAGGAGGCCTATTCTGTGCCTATAGGTATTTAACATGGATAGGATATCTGGTGGTATCTATATTGACACCGTCTATTCCTGCCTTTCAAGTATGCGGTGTGTCTACTACTCTCTTTGATGGCGAGGTAAGCGCGGATAAAAGAGAAAGAGAGGCGACTTAACACTGCCAGCGTCAGAAGAGGCCCCAGCAAATGGTTTTATCTGCAGGCTGGGGGGCAGCGGGGGGAGGTGATGGAGCGGCGCCAGAGAGACAGCTGTCGAGATGGGAGCGCCTGTTCAAAGCTGTCAGGCCCCTAAAGAAAAAGGGCCCTCCCCCTCCTCTTCTCTCCTGCTCTCTTTCTCCAGCTCTCTTTCTTTCGCCCGCGGGCCGGTCGAAGGGGGTGTGTTTTTGGCAAGGCACTATAGCTCGAGCCTCGAGCCGGCGCTGCCTAGTTGGAAGTCTCTCTCTCTTTTTTTACTACGGTTTCGCAGCCACAAAGAACTCTAGTAAATACTCACGTGAGTTTTTCGTAGGCCTACCAGACTTCCATGGCGGTTGCCAAACGATACATTTATGCTCAACGAAAGTTGGGCCATTTAGAATGTTCGAAGAACCTATTATCCTGTTATTACAAAGGTTTCATTGTCCACTTTGTTGTTATCGACCGACCCCCCCTTTCCAAAACACACCCACACACATCCTCAACACTGAACACAATAGTCGCTACAAATGGAATTTTAAATAATGACGTCTAGTTTATCCAGGTTGAACATTGAATAGGCCTAAGCTATTTCACACCTATGGAGCCCTAGTTATTTCCAAAATCCTTGCATAAAGTGCTTAATCATAGCCTCCAACGAACCGTGAAACAAGGCACCTTATCAAGTAGTCCTTTTACTTATGTCTGTCTGCGCCGAGGCGTCAAGTAGAGCCAACGTTGCCCTATACAACCCGTGTGTCTAGTTTTTCGGTGTCTTCTTGTTGGATGCCAACTGGGTCTAAGTTAGTAATGCACACAATCCTCCAATTTTACAGCCATCTGCCGGATGAAGCGCCTGCCTATTACATAAACCCACTCATGCACTGTGTCACCACCATTTACTGCCGGCAAGTGGAATGTAACAACGTAATCCGATTCTGTGCCAGTCATATGAACTCTTAACTTTCAATCACCCCAATTAGCACTAGCCTAATAATAATAATAACAATAATAATAATAATAATGTAGCAGAATGACGTCAATTCAACAAAATAAAACGGGGTTTGTGGATGAGTATTGTGTTATTAGGCTATCAGCTGTTGTACTGTAGGCACTGTAACCAAAACATAAGGTATTGTGCGCATTCATCCTCGCCAAAGGTATCTGCTTACCGGAGTCGCTCGGAGTTTCCTCTGCGCTACAGTGCGCAGTAGAGGCGGAGGTCGTCCCAGGTGGACATCTGCTGTTGGTGCTACCGTTTCTTTTGTTGATGGGGAAGGGGAAGACTATCCTGGGGTCCACACTCAGCTCCGGCGCCTTGGTTGTGGTGGCGGTAGCGGTAGTGACATTTTTACTAACTCCACAGGCAGCCGCCGTGGAGATGGCTTTGCCTAACTTTTCTGTGACCACCCTCTGGAGCTTTTCCCTGGCCGAGAAGCCGCTCCACATACAGTCCTGAATGATGATGGAGTTGGGGTTACTATCCAAAGCGGAGCAGCCGCCGAACAGGTCTCCGTCCGACACGCCCCAAATATCGTCTTCGGGCAGGAGTAGGAGCTCTGAAGCCCAGTCGCAGCCCAGCGGGTCGCCTAATCCAAAGCCCATGGGACCTGCTGCCGAGTCGCCCCTGTCCCCCCCGGACGCGAAGGCCAGCTCCCCCGGTAGCGCCGCTCGGCTCGGGGAGAGGGGCGGCGTGGGCAGCAACTCGAATTTCTTCCAGATGTCCTCTCCGGGTGGCGCAGAGCCGGGACCGCAGAAATAGAAGTCATCCTCGCCCGGGTAGAAGCAGGGTTGTAGAGAGTCGAACTCCATGTCGGAATTTTTACTTATAATCGCTGGCATTGGAAAGCCTATAGAGAGGGACAGTTAGATAGTTTAGAAACAATGGAATAAGACACACACCTCCATAAAATTCCTATCGAAAAGCCCAGATAACTACAGTCAGTCCATTGGAAAGCACAGAGGCCAGTGTGCGTAAAATAGTGTGCGTAAAATGTGTGTGACCCTGACTGGCATGAAGTCAGCTTTCCACTATTCTTGGCGCATTATTCACACAAGAATACCACAGTGGGCAATTATAACTATTAAAACACATATCTAAAGTCACATAACAATCCAATTCGTTTAAAGGATGACCATTTTGGAGTCAAAATAGAGAGAAAAAAACCGGAGTCAATAATGTAAGCGACACTTTCACCCAAATATTGAAAGATGCTCACCTCGCGTTGACTGAGGTTGTGGTGTGAGTCGTGTTTTCTCGAATATCTCTCTCGCAGTTCAGTGATAAACTAGATTAGGAGCACACATCTACTCTTGTATCGCACAGACAGATCTCTGACACGCATTGTGCTGGGCTACGGAGTGTTATAGTCTACACTCAAATCTCTCTCTGTGTTGGAGGGAAGACTCCACCCACTTAGGGGTGGGCGGAGTTTGGTAGACCGCTGCGGCGTGAGGCAGACGGGCAGGGTGGCTGGCTCGCTGTGTTGTCTCCTATAGGATCGTCACTAGTTACCACAGCCACAAAGTAATAAACCCCGCAATTTCTACAAATTGCTCTTCTTAAAATGTGATTTTAAACCTAACCCTAACATTAACCCTTACCTTAACCACACAGCTAACCGTATACCTAACCCTAACCTTAAATGAAGACCAAAAAGCTCATTTTATTTTCATGAATTTGTGGTTGTGGTAACTAGTGGAAACCCTCCTATAGCTCGCGACGGGCTCCATTACCTCCCCAGATAATATATATTACTTTATCATCCCTGAGCCTCCATTATGGCGAATTTCCTCCCCTTTTCAGAAATTGTTTGGGGGAAATTGTGGACAAATGCATAGGATATAGACTTTATTTTGTGTATAAAGGCTCCACTAATATATTCCATAATGATTTGTTACCCAGCGACCTTTAAGATAGCATTTTGATGGAAGTAGGCCTTCTATTTGTTTAAAGATAAGCAAATCAGCTCTTATACTGTCTTGTTATTAGGAAAGTCACGACGGCTTGGCGCATTACTCAACGCTAGAGCGGAACCAAACTCTCACTATTGTCTGGGGGCATTTAGGTAACCGCATAGCAGGATCAAAGAGTCGGGATCACTGCGCCCTCAGGTGGACACAAGAGAACAGTAGCTTGAACGCGTCAATATATAAATCGCTGTTGTAGGTTATCTGCGGTGAATTGTCGAACCATGAGTTGAAGGCGATATGCATAATTTGTTAAAGAATGAACATGTTATTTATAACTATTATAGGCTACTTATTAAACACATCCATACAGTATTGAGTTAATTGGCTACGCTTTAAACCTATCATTATACTATTCTTTATCTTCTTTGTCTACACATGTCCAGGGCGAGCAGAATCAGCTGCGCTCAGGGGTTGTAACGTAACTCCATTGGCGGTGGTAGCCTGCAGTCATCCCCATCCCCTTTACTCTAATAACAGGTTGGACGGAAATGTATCTGTAATTAAGCGCACAGGCAGCGCATTGGCACGAGCACAGATACAGTACATGCGTTATCGACTTCTTGAGAGAAACTGTTTTGTTTAATTTACAACCAAATGCCAAACGAAATGACACAGCACTTGTTCTAACATGTTTGATCTACCCGAAATCACAAAGAGGACCTTTCCAAATGAGGATATCGAAAAAGACATAAATAGGTCTATATGTCTTTTGTGTCCTTTAAAGTCACTATGAAACGAATCCTATGCAGTCAAGCTTTGATATAGTCGATAGGTTTTTAATAAGAAGCAGTAAAAGAAGACCTTTCCATATGTGATTACAGAAAAATACATGGACACAGGCCTACCATATCCTTATTTTCTTCTTTAAACCACTAGACTGTAATCCCATCCAGTCAAGTCAAGCTTTGATATTGTTGATGGGTTGTTATCAAAACCAGTGGTGGAAGATGGGAGGGAGGATAAAGACTAGCAGCTGCTATCAGAGCAAGAAGAGTGAACTGGGATCTGTTTGGGAGGGGCAGGGCGTTTCCTGGGAATACCGATACCACCACGAACGCCTGTTCCCTAGGATTGGGACAAGGAAATCATGATGGGAGCTGGGATGAGATGTTCGCCCTTGTTTTCCTATGACCCATAGGAACAGCTTCCTGTGTGAGAGAGAGGGAGTAATAACAAAGAGAGAGGGAGAGAGACATGGAGAAGGGTTGGAGGGAGAAACTAAGAGAGAGGGAGAGAGAGATCGGGAGGGTCCAATTGTGTCCATCTGGCACACACACACACACACACACACACACACACACACACACACACACACACACACACACACACACACGCACACACACACACACACACAACACACACACGCACACACACACACACACAACACACACACACAACACACACACACAACACACACACATGCACACAAAACATAACTCTGCACCAAGTGTAACTGGCCAGTTATGTCCAGGCAGAGACTGAGACACTGGCCATGTTCGTGAGCAGCAATTCTGCTCAGGGTTTAGAGGTTGGATGGGGGGGGGGGGGGGGGGGTTGCTTGCACTTATGAATGGTTAAGCAATTGGGCCAGTTTGGATGAGATAAAAGATTCATAAGTCACCGTGTTGGGAAGGAAAAACAACAAAAGCCAACGACTTGTCATCCGGCTGTGATGACAAGAAGAGAGAGAGACCGTGGCTGCTTCCCAAATGGCACCCTATTCCCTAAATCGTGCATTACTTTTGATTTCTGCCTCACATGCACACACACACGCACACAAACACACACAGACACCAAAATGCAGAACATTTCTTCATCATCATTACCTAAGAATGTGGGTTCTTAGGCAACCTGGTCTCAAGTCGTTTTCGTAATATTTTTAGATTTTAGAACAAAGGTCAGTTTGAACTGATTTTTACACTTTTGACATTGCTTTTGTTGTTTCAACGACCATCTTCCTAGGAATCCAGTTTGGAGGAGGTGTTTCATGTAAACATCACATACATTTCAGAGGCCCTATATAGTGCACTACTTTTGACCAGAGCCCTATTGTTTGTGGAAATATTTTATATGATAGATATCAGGGGTTGGAACCAAAATTATTTTCCAATCGTTTAGTTCTGAGTAGAACCATCATTTTTTTCATTCCGTTCCGCTGTTCCGACCAGCAAAATACAGTTCTGAACCGGTTAGAACAACATATTGTTCCATTTAAACCTCTGAAATATATATATATATTTTACATTTAGCTCAACATTAAATGACTTCACCAATCAGTGCAGATAGAGCAGCATGCTGTGGAGAGGGTAAGCGATTTAATATGTATAGGAAAGTCGTTAAGAGAAAATTGTATTTTACCATAACAGCATGTTTGAATCAAAATGAAAGACAAACACACACAGTGTCACAGTGTAGGGCTCAAGATGCAACTGACATTTTGAGGGTGAGGAAAGAGGATAGAGGAAGCTTGCCTTGAAGCCCTGGGCATCTTGTTATGACATGCATTATCTGAATTAGGCCCACAGAATTATACCTATGGAGGAGCGGCTTTTATGGAGGAACTTTGAATTTCTTTGAACTTCCGAGTTGGTTTAAAGTTGAACCAGAGCAAACGTTAGCTAGCTAACAAGCTTGTACAGCAGCAATATAATTAAAAACACGTCTTACCTTTTTGTAGATAATAAATCCAATGTGAAACCAGTAGCGGTGCATAGGTAAAATCACTGAGGAAGTCATGCCAAGCCAGTAAAAAGGCCATATTACAACCTATGTTGTGATAATTGCGTTGTTTGCTCTATAACCCATTCGTTCATACGCCACAGTGATATACAATAAGGCCGTGACAACAAAAAGACAACAGTCACACAGTGGCGGAATAAATTCAACTACACAGACATATGTTTCGTCACAAAACCGAAGAGCAACATCTGTCCGGTGAAGTCCACAAAGCAAATGTTGCATTCAATCAGTTATATCACCTGCAGCATGGTCAAGCAGGTTAATGTTTAGACAGTTTACTAAACCACTACTGATTTAGAACCACGGAATTACCGCAAGTCGGCAAAAAGACAACAGGAGCACTGCCTCTGCTATTCCATCACCACTTCAACTTAAACATTTAAACATCCTCAAATCAACAAGGCTACAGTGCATTCGGAAAGTTCTCAGACCCCTTTGACTTTTTCCACATTTTGTTACGTTACAGCCTTATTATAACATGGATTCAATGTTTTTTTCTTCGTCTCATCAATCTACACACAATACCCCATAATGACAAAGCAAAAACAGTTTTTTTGAATTTTTTGCAAATGTATATTTAAGAAAATAATGAAATATCATATTTACATAAGTATTCAGACCCTTTACTCAGTACTTTGTTGAAGCACCTTTGGCAGCGATTACAGCCTCGAGTCTTCTTGGGTATGATGCTACAAGCTTGGCACACCTATATTTGGGGAGTTTCTCCCATTCTTCTCTGCAGATCCTCTCAAGCGCTGTCAGGTTGGATTGGGAGTGTTGCTGCACAGCTATTCTCATGTCTCTCCAGAGATGTTAAATCGGGTTCAAGTCCGGGCTCTGGCTGGGCCACTTAAGGACATTCAGAGACTTGTCCCGAAGCCACTACTGCGTTGTCTTGGCTGTGTTCTTAGGGTCGTTGTCCTGTTGGAAGGTGAACCTTCACTCCAGTCTGAGGTCCTGAGCACTCTGGAGTAGGTTTTCATCAAGGATCTCTCTGTACTTTGCTCTGTTCATCTTTGCCTCGATCCTGACTAGTCTCCTAGTCCCTGCTGCTGAAAAACATCTCCACAGCATGATGCTGCCACCACCATGCTTCACCG